ATCCTCGAAACCCAACTTTTCTTCGTATATGAGATGACGATTGACAAGCCGAGATACCTCAGCCAACCAGTGAGACACGAAACGGACCTTCGGGGGTACGAGAGAGAATATAACGGAACATTCTTTCCGTCACTGGGGTCACGAGGCCTACACCCCCTTATGATTGCGGGAAACGTCAACTATCAGTCCTCAATCACCTTAGTAACAGTTAGAAACTCGTCTTAATTGTCGGCATGTAAGTCGTAATGCTCCGAAGTGGAGCACCTTCCTCATGCATTTTGAGCAGGCCAATATGCAATTGATAATTGAGCATCTCACTGAACAAGTTGTCCACTATTCATGCATTGTTGCAAGTAGCCCTACAACTCGAGGATTCCGTTGCATAGTGAATCCAAATCCTCTCTATTTTGCAATTATCTAAAGCCTGAAACGTCTCTTTCTACACAGTTTGCCCTACCCATTACTACGACTTCTCTTCTAGTATCTGGCCTCAATACCATTTAATGATGGTATAACGATATCTTCCTTCCTATTCCTACATATCCCGGCACAACTAACAACTCCATCGCTCCCAGTCTCCTCTTTGAACCTATCCGTTGAGCGTATACACTCTTTTTCGTTTATAAGTGGGTTTTCGAGACTCGTATCATTATGTGAAAGATTCAACCGCTGAATAGATCCTATAAACTATTAATAGAGGATAAAGGGAAGTTTAGGCCCTCACATCAGAAATGTACGATTATGGAGACTAGCCTTGAGAAGAGTATATCACATGAATGGGTAGTTGTGTGTCCATTTGTCCGAGGCATCACTGAGGTTATCTGACTCTTATTCTGATGAGCAATATGTTGGGGCCGACTATAAAGTGTGCTATTGAAGTTGCATATAAATCGGAACGTGTAACGTAGATGAAGTTGGTGTGTGATGAAAATGGATTAGCAGGAGGACAACCGAAACAGCTTGTTGGCGTAGTGTAGTCGACGTGTGAGAGAGGCAAAATGCCGAGGCCTAACTTGCATTGGTGGTCTACAGGGCAAGGGTTGTCCTGTAAATGGGACCTCAACTGCCAGAAAACTTTGCCTGCAGCATAGACGCTGTTGGAGCACGGGCCTCTTTACGCGGAGTCCAACCGACTTGTACCATCTTAGACGGACTTAAGTGAGGCAGTGATGCAAGCATGCATGACATGTTGCGGGAGAAAAGCGTTTGACATCCAGGCTTAGTTGACGATACAACACTGTCAAG